AGGGGGTTAAAATTTGTGTTTTGCATGTGCACTTCCATTTCCATGCTCACTGCATGTGCTGCGCACATGCAGTGAGCATTTCCATGGTATTAATTTTTGTGGTTAAGAAGTCACACACGAAATCTGTGAAATTAATTATCCCATGGAATTTTATACCTGTAAGGTATTTTATACCTAGATTGACAGCAAAGAATCATAGGCAACATTATGGAGAAATAAAAATCCTTTACATTATTATTAAGATTATGAGAGCCTTATTATGCATCATTTAGGCTCACATGATGTTAATTATTAAGTGACTTTTTAATAGGACAAATTGTGACTTAACAATAAAATTGTGATCAAGAATCAAACTGCTTTGATCTACACGTACATAGACTATATGCAACCAATTAAATTAATTATTTTTGGCATTTTTTATGATTTTTTTTGATGTGCAATTGAAGTCGGCAAATGAGCTTTCTTTATTCTTTCTATTTTCTATCACAGGTTCATGAAATTCTCATACGATGGCAGTAAGTGATGTCACATGTGAATGTGTAATTATTTTCTTTTTTTCTATGATACCATTGTGATACTTTACTAAACTGTTATTCACAATGTTTTAGAAAGTAAGTCACATCACATGTAAATGTGTATTTTTATTCTTTTTTTTATGATACCATTGTGATACTTTACTTAACCATGTTATTCACAATCTTTCAGAAAGTAAGTCATGTCACATGTAAATGTGTATTTTTATTCTTTTCTTCTATGTTAATTACCATTGTGATACTTTACTAAACCATGTTATTCACAATCTTTTAGTCAGTCAGTCACATCACAAGTTAATGTGTAATTTTCTTCTTTTCTTCTGTGATACCATTAATTGTGATACTTTACTAAACCGTTTATTCACAGTCAGTAAGTCAAGTCACATGTGAATGTGTAATTTTATTCACTTCTTCTATGATACCATTGTGATACTTATAAACTGTGTTATTCACAATCTTTTAGCCAGTAAGTCACATCAAAAGTGAATATGTAATTTTATTCTCTTCTTCTATGATACCATTGTGCTACTTTACTAAACTGTGTAGTTCACAATCTTTCAGGATGTAAGTCAAGTCACATGTGAATGTATTTATTCTTTTCTTCTATGATACCATTGTGTATGATACCATTGTGATACTTTACTAAACTGTGTTATTCACAATCTTTCAGGATGTAAGTCAAGTCACATGTGAATGTATTTATTCTTTTCCTCTATGATACCATTGTGATTCTTTACTAAACTGTGTTATTCACAATTCCTTTAGTATGTAAGTCAAGTCACATGTGAATGTGTAATTTTATTCACTTCTTCTATGATACCATTGTGATACTTATAAACTGTGTTATTCACAATCTTTTAGCCAGTAAGTCACGTCAAAAGTGAATGTGTAATTTTATTCTTTTCTTCTATGATTCCTTTGTGATACTTTTACTAAACTGTGTTATTCACAATTTTTCAGCCAGTAAGTCAAGTCACATGTCAATGTGTAATTTTATTCTTTCCTTCTATGATACCATTGTGATTGTTTACTAAACTGTGTTATTCACAATCTTTCAGTATGTAAGTCAAGTCACATGTGAATGTGTAATTTTATTCACTTCTTCTATGATACCATTGTGATACTTATAAACTGTGTTATTCACAATCTTTTAGCCAGTAAGTCACATCAAAAGTGAATATGTAATTTTATTCTCTTCTTCTATGATACCATTGTGCTACTTTACTAAACTGTGTAGTTCACAATCTTTCAGCCAGTAAGTCAAGTCACATGTCAATGTGTAATTTTATTCTTTCCTTCTATGATACCATTGTGATTGTTTACTAAACTGTGTTATTCACAATCTTTCAGTATGTAAGTCAAGTCACATGTGAATGTGTAATTTTATTCACTTCTTCTATGATACCATTGTGATACTTATAAACTGTGTTATTCACAATCTTTTAGCCAGTAAGTCATGCCACATGTGAATGTGTAATTTAATTCTTTTCTTCTATGATACCATTGTGATACTAAACTG